AGCTCCTTTATTTTAACTGTAAATATCTTTTGTTGTTTCATAAACTCTCTGTTAAAATTATTTAAGGTGTATTAGATTCCTTAAGTGTATAATGATTTATCAATTCTGTATTAAATCCCTTTTTTCTTTCAAATTTTTACTCGGTTTTTAGATTAATAGCAGTGTCTTAGTCATAAGTCTAGTTGTAGATTCTGTATAAATCTTGTATAATATTACTCCTGAAAATCTAGTTTGTAAAAATTACTCTCATCCTTGGATTCAGACATAGTCTGATGTATACTTTTTACAAAATGAATTACATGGAATAACCAGTTAACTGTAATTACTACACAGCAGTCCAAGCAAAGACATTACTAAGTGCAAAACCATTAACATAACCATCTTTATCTACAATGTAAGATCTTGGGCAAACATTATGATGACCTCACAGAAATTAACTTAGTGCCTTCATTCCATTATATCAATCATCACACTCACAGAAACTTGGCTTAAGCCGATATTACAGTTTTCTATACCTTTCATGGCTACATTGGCCATACACACTTGTTAGAACAGACCAGCAAAGGGGGAGGAACAGCTATATATATTCAAATGATCTCGATATGTATCAATAATTCCTTGCACAAGGGATGAACATGGATCATATATCATAGCCATATTTAAATCAAAAGACCTGCAAAAAACCCCTCACAGTTATAAACATCTACAGTGTACCACATGTAAACATTTACCCTTTTAGTGAAAAACTAGGAAACATGAATCCCCCCCCCCCTCTGCCATACGCCATGAATAAGACCACCTACTGCTAACAGGTGATTTCACATAAACATTACTTACTCGTCAAGGACCACAAGTAAACCGTATCACAAACACAATGAGTAACTGCTGTTGCTACCAGCAATATCTAAAACTACAAGAATCTCAGAGACAGCATCTCCTGAATAGATCACATCTTGGACATACACCATTTCCCCTTTTAAATCAGGCATAATCACAGACACACTACAGACCCTAACCCAACCTTTCTCATAACTAATCTGGGTAAAACTACCTCAAGTCATTACTAAGTATCCTTCAGACTAATAACGAGACAGCAGTTAACAACTTTATTAGCAGCTTGAAACATATACAGATATGGAATGAATGAATAAATAATTTTCTAAAAAAGTTCCAATGCCTCTATTAACAGACATTGCCCAGAAAAACTAAACAGATCACAGCAAAGAGACTTTGAATAATCCCTGGCAATCACCCAAGGCATTATCCAAATCATTAACCACAAAGCACAAATATGAAAAACAGTATAGAATGGGTTCCAAATAACTAGAGAAACTGTCGAAAAATTACTCGTCAGCATTTACCAGCCTGATAAGAAGGTCAAAAAATTGTATTATGAAAAATTGATTACTTAACATCAAAGGTGATATGAAAAAAACTGGAAAACTCTATCGAAATTCTTGGAACTAAAAAGTTATCCAAAAAATAAAGCAATCAACTTACAAAATCAGATGAACCCTAACTCACTCAACCAAAACAGCAAACAGACTTAATGTTTTCTTCTACCACCATAGGAAAAAATCTAGCAAACAAAATTACCAAGCTCAAAACGGCCGTCTCCATCAGACTACCTCATAGGAAACCTAACCCAAATACGCGATTCTAGCTCCAACCAACCCCACTGTAGTTATGCTCATCTTAACACCCTTAAAACACCAGGGAGCTGGAGACATAAACACTTGCCTGCTTTTATGTACATAAAGCTTCTCAAGTATTAGTCACCAATTATTGCAACGCTCTTTATACTCAAATTCATTGACATCATCTACCTTCCCAACAATCCTCAAATTAGACGTATGGTCACTCCGATCCATTAAGGAGGTGTCCAGCTGACTTGAATATCTATAGGACCAATATCTAACATTACACTGCTTCTCTAAAATCTTTGAAATAATTAATTCATAGACGGAATCTATTCCTACCTCGTTTCACACAAATATTTAACCCTTGTCATTTGATTCAGGAATAATAAAAGCACAAATGATGCTATCAATACACTTGCTAGGACTAATATATACTGCACTTCTTGAAAAGAAATAAGTCCCGCTGGGCATTTTCTTTGATTTACGTAAAGCCTTTCGATACAGTCGTCCTGAACTACTGTACTCAAATTAATGCATATGTATCAGAGACCACTCCCTCAATCTTACCTAACAGTCACTACCGTAGTACAGACTCAAGTTGTGTATGCAAATGATGCAAACTCCTCACCTCAAACTGTCACATGTAGGAGTCCCGCAAGGAAGCGTCCTGAATCTTCATCAATGAGCTGCTGAATGAATCACAGCTACTTCTAACCAATTTTTGATGTTGTCACTACATATGTATTTTTCCCACCCAAACGCCAAAATAAAGTCATTACTAGCAAACACAGTTCTATGCTGAATTACTGAAAATATCTGCCTGGTGCTGACTAAACAAACTTACCCTGAACACTGATTATTAACCTATTTTCATTCAGTGTTTGGAAAACAAAGCTGCAATTGATCAATTGTTTCATTACGCTAAATGGATCATCAGTCTCAAGACTCACTAGAGGGATAATTCTTGGATCCCATCATGACTGTTGCCTTTATTTCCTGACACACATACAACATAATATCACCAAGTTAACTCAAGACTGTAGGCATACTATTCAAAGATAAGGTATAGTTCCACAATCAGCTTCTACTGGCACTGTACCATTTCACCCATATACCTTATCTTACATATGGTATTTTGTTGCGATGAGGTTCAACAACATCCAATCACTAAAAATACCCAATAAACCAGCAAAAAGGCAGCAGTAAGAATGATGATTAAATTTTCCCACTTCCTGCCAGCATACTCCACCAATTTTTCAAATAGTCTGTATATGCTTACCATTAGAACCTTTTCCATACTTATTCATGTGCCTTACTTCTTACACAGATCAAATACTCGCAAATATAAACCCCCCATCAAACTTCTCCCACCAAACCTAAAAGGAAACATGACCACAGCACAAGAACAGATTCTCTTTTTGTATACCTTGTTGTCCATATCACACTGTGTAAAAACTCTATTGCACATAAAGGGCCCCAAAATTGGAAATCATTACACAGAAGATATTAAAGTAACTCCATGTTGAAAATCATTTTAAGGACCTCTTTCAAAAAGCCTCTTAATCACCTTGACTATATGCTAAATTACTCAAGTACAATTTATCACTAATGTACTCCCACATCTAACTGAAACAACTCATTGCAACCTTTTTTTCTTTGTGACAAGGATTTAATTGAATCATTGTTTTTCACATAAAGAAGTTTAGAAATAAATATATCTTTGTATTATACAATATTTTGATTTCAAAATTTATAAGTAATATTCTATGTACATAGTATGAATAATTACTTTATACTGTTCCAACTATGATATACGATCTTAGTATGAAGTAGACTGTAAGCCAATATGTTATGTTGGCCCTTATTGCCATAGCATAATAGAGGCTTCTTTGCATTGCATACCCCTATTGTATATACACAAATCTCAATGTACTTTTGCAAAGGACATTAAAGAAATTAATAAATAATATCCCCATTCTACTTTTTACTCCAGTGTACTACAATAAAAAGTGATCTTGTATATATATGTGGCCCTCTATAAATCTTGTACATCCTGAAGTCTTACCTCAAACAGTCTTTTATCTACCTATACATAATCCAACAAAACTACTGATCATTTCGCCCTCTATTATATCTTGTACAGTATACTTAGTTATCCTCTTTTTCTTAAAATATGTATTACCTGTATACTAAACCCAACTTTCTTTACAAAGTTCAATCAAAGGGCTTCCACATTATTCACTCTACACCTGGCAACCCAACTTTCTACCTTTCTCTTTCTAAAAGTTTGTCCTACTTTAGCTTTCAGGTCCCCTACACAATTATCTCTCACTTGGTTCAAAAGGTTCCTATTACATTCACTTAAAATCTCCCAAAATCTCTCTTCTCCTCTTCATTCCTCTCTTCTCCAGGTGCTAAGTGTTACACGCTTATTTTGACCATTTTTTTGCATCCAACCTTTTCTTTAATCCACATTAATCTTGAATTTTACACATTCAATAGTTTCTTTTCTCCTTCCATAACTGATCCTTCAACATATTGCTACCCTTCTTAGACTCTATCTCTCTCAGATACTCCAGATTTAATCCCATTTTATTTCACCCCACCGAAAACTCCCTACCCCCTTCAGCTTTGTTTCGCTTTAGGGCCCGGACATCAACTCTTTTCATTCATAACTTCATCAATCATCTGTTCTTCTCATCCGCACAAAATCCCACGCACATTCGAGCATCCCAGTTTTATAAAGTTTTGCTTCTTCTATTTTTAGTAAATGTTTTCACCAGGTGAAGGAGTATAGCCATTGTTCACGGCATTTTAGTCGCCTCATACGACTGCTATGGTTAGGAAGGATAATGTTCTTTTCCACTTCCCCAGGTTAAGAACGAAATAAAGGAACAAGAGCTTTTTAGTCATTATTATTATAATCAAAAAGAAGCGCTAAGCCACCAAGGACTATACCAGCGGCTGAGGCTATTAGAAAAAGGAGAAAAAACCTTAGTTATATGTAAATGTATATATATATATGCATTGATGTCTGTGAAGTGTGACCAAATGTACGTAGGAGTTGCAAGATATTTCCCTGTTATCTAGCGTGTGATGGAGACAGAATAAAAGACACCAGCATTCCTACCATCATGTAAAAACAGTACAGGTTGTTTTCGGTTTCACTGTCATCTGGGCGGACGGTAGTAGTACTTCCTGGGTGGTTGCTGTTACCCAACCTACTACCTCTTTTAATGTTATAATACACATACGGTTTGTACTTTACCCGTTGGGTTTTATAGATATAATACATCAAAGAAAAAAAAAATAGTCTAGCTTCTTTATCTCTTTGTCTGTATTTTAATTTTATATTCAAAGGCTAGAATTGGAAGAGCTTTCTCTATCCAACATACATGTACGGCTTGAGGCAGGGTGGTTAACATCACCATTCAGTTGTCTTGGGCCTGTTTGATCGGTTATTCAGAACAGACTAGTGAGCAATGTCTTCCTCACTGGAGGTCCTTCATCACTGCCAGGTCTCAAGCCCAGGATAGAGCGTGAACTTCTAGCCATGCGACCATTCCAGTCACATTTCAGCGTTAGTCTTGCTGGGGTAAATTTTTCAGGCTATTTTACATACTGTATTTTATCAAAGTGATGTGCACAATGGCTCCTCTGTGATCTCTGCTGGTTCTCCAATACCTTATCATTATGATTATGATGATCATCTTACGTAGTCCTCTTATGGATGGGCACCAAGTGCAGCTCTGCACAGTCCAACATATTAAGTGTGTTTGTTTCATTCATCAGAGCACACCGCTTCTATTTTTAACTTCTAAAATGCTCTGACATGCTTATTCTTCTATTTTTCTCTAACATTCCTAATTTTTATGTTGATTTTCTCTTATGAATTTTTAAATAAAACTGGCCAACTGCTATACCCTCAACACTTATGCCTTTCCCACGGCTGTTACTCTCACCCTTGATGCATAGCACTACATAAACAAGACTGGTTTAGCACTTTTTTGTGAATATAATACTGCAATAATAATAATATAATGTTTTGAAGCTAACATTCTTTATCGTTTTGTAAAAGTATAATTTTGCTATTTTTTCAGAACCCAATTTTAGATGCTTGGTATGGGGCACGGGACAGTGTGGAAGAGCTTGTAGCTGTGGGGATCACCAGGGCTGACTATCTCGAACATGGAGGAGACAGGTCGAGATATCACAAGGATGGTAAGATCCTTCTAAGTCTTGCAGTCCCTACTAGGTAGGTGCCTGGATGCTGGTGAAGGCCTCTTGATCGAAGGACCTGGAGCTAGCCTTCTCTTTCTCAAATACGATTGCCTTCCATTTCCCCAGGCACTATATGACTCTGATGGGGTTGTAGAACTTCATAGAATACACATGTTATATGTTTTTTTTTTTTTTTTAACACGTTGGCTGTTTCCCACCGAGGCAGGGTGATCCAAAAAGAAAGAAAAAACTTTCATCATTCAACATTTTCACCATCACTCATACATAATCACTGTTGTTGCAGAGGCGCTCAGTTACGACATTTAGATGTCCCTCTAAACTGCCAATATCCTAAACCCCTCCTTTAAAGTGCAGGCATTGTACTTCCCACTTCCAGGACTCAAGTCCTGACAAACGTTTCCTGCAATCCCTTACAAAATATTACCATGGTCACTCTCCAACAGGGTTTATTATTACATATAGTAATATAAACCATCTGGCACACCTGGTGGAAAGTGTGCACTGGATTTTGAACGTGATGGGACAATCTCGTCATTTTTTATTGTTCCTTGCGGCATTTTCATTTTTCAAATTGTGTTGAGGTGCCTGCCAATAAGATTTCCCAGATAATGTCTGTAATTACTTATTTGATTTGTTTTATAAATGCTGATTATTATTATGATTATAATAATTATTAGAACTAAGTGCTAAACCCACCAGGATCATACAGCACTATAGGATAGGAAGTGCTAAAGGTTTAATATGCTTGATGCGAAGCTAGCAAAGGCAGAGAGTATAGCGGAGGTGAGTCTGTAAGTGTGTTGAAGATCTGCTGATAGGTAGTATAATCAAAGGTTGACGAGATAAATTTGTGGTTGTAAAAAAGCATAGATGGAGGTCGTGTCGATAGGTGTGGTGTCAGTGGGGGGAGGGAAGATAAAATAAGGGTGTTAGTAGCAGTGATTGACATCAGAGATATATTCTGCATGCTCGCTTGTTGGACAGGACAATCCAATTGTCTGTGGCATACCCCGGTAATCGGAGACATGACAATTCGCAATGACTTGAACTTATGAATGTGGGGATAATGAACCCTATTGTTTTTATTTTATTATGCAGTTCACAATTAAGTAATTTTTCACTTTTCAGGATTTCTCAGTTTTCTTATGCAAGTCCTTCCTTCTTTTCATCAAGTGGAAATACAGTAATTATGAATAACATGCATCTAGACAGCATATTCTCAATAAAACATAAATGAAGTTTTGTAGCCAAGTCCATGTTTCACTGGGCAGAAAAACCAGTATAGTGCTCCATAAATTTTTAGGAAAAATATGATCAGTTCTCATGATGAGGAATGGGATAAAGTTTAGAAAGAGTAATGGGAAGGCTGAAGAATACAGGTTGGTCACCATAATCTTTATTTACATAGAATTTGGGTTGATTTGAATCACAAAAGAGTTCATCTCTCCCCCTCCCCAATCCACAACAAGACAAGATAGTGTTTTAAGGAGGTTCATGCAGCTTTCATGGACGGTTATACAAATAGCTGCTGGACATTCAGCGATCAAACAAGATGGGGGAGAATATTTAGCTGTATGGTCATTCATGTATACAGGAACCATACTGATTACAATGTGGTACGAGGACATCAGGGGTGCCTTGTGAAGCAGGGGCCACATTAACCTGTCCACACATTTCAAGATCAACCGTACCACCAGACAGAAATTATAAGGCAAGAAAAATGTTCATGTAACTTTTTGTCTACTAACCTTTGCTGTATTGTTAAGTATTTTATTAAGGTTACACTACTAGCTAGAATCCAATTACAGTGATGTTTTTTTTTTGACAATTACATCTTTGAAATCGTTAAAGATTTTTAGGAACATAGTCTGTGTCAATTGATAATCCATTATATACTTAATATCCAGTTACAATTTAGTGGTATTCCTTGTTTTTTTTTTTTATTATTTTTTTTTTTTTTCAGGAAACATGTTTTGGGTTCATCTTTACTCCAGTAGCACCTGAGTCAGCACCAGGATCAACAGTTCCAAGCCAAGAGGACCTCTCCAGCCCTGAAGTTAATACCTATTGCACAGAGGATATATTTTCTGTGTCAACTGTAGAACCATATGGTGCTATCCAGATTCTTCCTCTTGTTAAAAGGTTGTTTGTCAGAATTCATATTTATGTCATCAGGAATCTGACAAACCCGTAATAAAGCAAGAAATATACTATTTTTTTTTTTTTACCCAGGGTGAATGTACATTATTTTTATTTTTATTATAATCAAAAATTGAAGCGCTACGCCACAAGGACTATACAGCGCCTGCAGGTGCAGGAAGGAAGCGAGGGCATCAAGTGGCAAAAGGGAGTTGGATCGAGCATCAGGTTTACGGAAACACGCGGGGCACGGGAGGTGGATGGTGAAAGGGTAAAGGGCAGCAAGAGGGACTGACCAGAAAGGGCTGAGGGGAGTGCGAAAAGTATCATCAGGAGTTTGTCGGAGTAAATCTGTCGTTGGCAAGAAGTCAATGAGAGAGTCAGATTAAAGGAGGGTCCATCAGCAAGAAGGAAGGTAAAGAGGTGAGTTGGAGGGAACGAAGAGACGTTGGAGGTAAATTCTGCGTGCTCGTTGATGAGAGGGCAGTCTAAACAGAATATGTGGCTAATCGATACTGGTACTTGACACTGCTTCACAGAGAGGAATCAGGGTGCCTCTCGATGAGATACCATGGTAAGGACGAGTGTGGCCCAATGCGAAGGCGGGGAGAGTGGTCTCCAACCTCGGCACTGATGGACAAGAAGACGGCCAGTAACCTATACTCGGTTTTATAGAATGAAGTTTGTTCGAGCAGAGTTGACCAGTTGTTGCCAACGGGTGCGAGGTGGGGGGTAGCTATTGCAGCCAAAATAGTCCAGAAATGGAACACCTGATAGGAAATTGGTAGGTTCATTTACTGCTGATCCGCGCAAGCAGTGTCTGCTCTGTTATGCCTGTACGTCGACATGACCAGGGACCAACAAAAAAACATATCTTTATGTTTGGTAGAGATACGGCGTAGCAAAGTTTGGATACGGGAGAACTTGGGATGTGATGTACAATATTTTCGGTATGCTGTAGAGCACTAAGGGAGTCTGAGATACTATCAATTGATGACACAGGCTATAGATGCTATACGTATAAGTGCTGCAAGAATGGCATACAGTTCAGCAGTAAAATGCTAGCTGAAGACTAGGTAAAATGCCCTGTACGCGTGTCCGGAAACAACTGCTGCGAATCCGGACGACCGTCTGATGAACTTTAGAGCAATCCTGTGTACACAGCACACGGTGGCATGAGTCTGAGAGTGGAAGTGATCAAGGGAAAAAGAGAGCGGGATGCCACCGTAGGCAGTTTGAGCTTTCGAGCAAGGGAGTGAGAAAGAACAGCCCCAGAACAGCTGGGACCTTCCCAGGGGGGGTAGGGAAAAGTGAGTTGCTTCATGAAATATAAAGGTGGTAAACTGAAGGGAAGCAAGCGTGAAAGTAGGCGAAAGAGAAAGGGAGGAGCAAAAAGGGGGCGGCGATCGAATAAGAATGGTCTTATCTAATATCGGTGACCATTCTATATATGGAAGGATTGTGTAGATGTGAGAGCGTATATAGTAACGAATGGCATTGGGCATCCGGCGATCAGACATGGATGGACATTTGCTTCTGTAAAGAGGCTCTCAACAGGGGAAGAGCGAAATGCACCAAGGCACAAACGAAGCCTTGGTGATGGATAGAGTTAAGGCTATGAGGGTTAGCAGGAAGAGGCGACGCGGAATGAATTGGTCACCATAATCGAGTTTCGATAAAACGAGGGCTTGATGAATGTAGGCGAAGCAGAGTTCTCGACGATCAGCCCCCAGGAAGATGAGCAAGGGGTTTTTAAGGAAGGTTTTAGCCGGCACTGTGCAAGGTGCCTCAGAGGGTATGTGAGGTTTCCACGGTTAACCGAGGTCAAGGGAATTTTACATAATTCTATCATTATACCTCAACATATTTCAAAGTCTTGCCATAGCTATCTAATGTATACTAACACCCTCCCTGGGTGCAAGCCATAACAGTTAGCTAACACCTAGTTACTGCTAGATGAATAAGGGCACCAGGTATAACGAAACATCTTTTGTAAGGCACTGTATCTGAGTTTTCTGTACTGGACAAAACACTGTAATAAAGATTTTCCTTTGGATTGCCCTGCCTTTGTGGAAAAGTTGGACAACACATTACATTCACAATTTTATCTTATTTCACAGGAAGGAGTGGTAAACCCTTAGGGGTCATACTGTGCATTGGAAAATGGGAGGCAATCAGATTTGACCCAAGGAAAATATTATGATCAACACTTTAGTGCTAAACCCACCAAGGTCATAACAGTGCTGCAACCCAAGGAAAGGGAGGGTAACATCCTTTGGACCAAGATACCTTACTGCTGGGCAAGGTAATTGCTGATTTTCAGCAGAAATCTGCATATTGCAGCATTTAATGCTCAATACAAATGAGAAGCAACGTCTGGAGAAGGGGGTAATTAAACTGCAGAGTGCACTATTATTATGGGAGCACTAAATCTAGAGAGATTATACAGCACCCTTGGGGGGATGATGATGGAAGGCATTCAGGCTTATGGAAGTGGAACACAGATGCAATTCCCTAGATCAAGAGCCCCTCACCAGCATCAAGGAACCTCCCGACACGGTGCACTGAAATGACCCATGGCTTCATTTACGACACTAGGAAGTAAGGTTTATACATGTACATGTATATCACTTTCTAATTTTGGATATCAGATTCATACACACAATAAAAAAGCTACCACAAACTAAATCACTGGAAAATTATAGCCTGATACTATAAGAATTCTTTATATATGTGCAAAACATAAAAATCATACATATGCTCAGTGTCTTAATACTAACATTGTGTTTTTACAAGCAATATACAAGATCTTGGCAAAGTTTTGTACTTGAGAAAGACATTGTAGTATTTATAAGTGGCTAAAACTTGCCAGTCCCCTAATTCACATTAAATACCTTATTCTAAGTCTGTACAGAAATTACACTGATATACTACTGTGCTATATTTTTTTCTTATTGCTTTTGCCCATCACCCCTATAATCAGATAACCAACAGCTTTCCATTTTATATAATACTTTCTTCATGTAAGTTCATAAAAACAAAAGAAACCATAAAAAATTAAATATAAATATAGTACAGGTATATTTATTCAGTACTGAAATTCAAATGGCATACCATCAACAATAGCAAAGAAAAGACATGTTGCAGAACAATCTTCTTAACCCAGGACACTGCTCAACATGATGTCACAGTACGAACTTCTGCAATGTGTCTTTTCTTCACATAATTCAGTATTATAAGGACAGAGCATGTTGGTATGAAAAATTAGTGTATAAGCAGAGAGAAACAAAGGGAATATTTGTAAAATGTATGTACTTGTGCACCATGTTTAACATTAAACTTTGCCATAGAGAAAAAACCAAGTCAATTTTACACTAGTCTTGCAACATTAAAAGAGCAATCCAATATAAAGAAAGCCAAAATTTTAAAATTTCAGTTGCCAATATCTTCAAAGCAAGCACTAAACATCATACAATTCTTTATAAAAAAATAAAAAACACTGTACTATTTATCACCACAATAGATAGGTATTCGGTTTGTATAAGGCAAAATCTCATACAAGCTAACAGATCAGGTAAGAAACTTTTTTTTTTTTTAATAGTAATCTACTGCTCTGTGAATTATCACCATTGTCTAGTAATAAAAAAAATTTATTGATGTGGCAACATATCACTTTTTATGTATTAATAAAAGTCATTACAATTTGGAGTAGTTAGGTCCTACAGCACGATCGCTCATGGCCACACCAAAATGTAATCACTTTAATACCCGCACCTTCTCATATTCTTGATTACTGTACTGCGTTCAAAGCAGAGTGGTGCTTACAGAATCTTTCTGAAACCATTACGACCTATCCAACTACATACTTTAAACATTTCATGTAGAATCCTGAATAAACAAAGATCATAGCATTTTTGTTAAAATAAAAAATACAACCATGGAACAAATATACTATTTCACGGTATACATCTGAGGATGGAAGGGTTCAAGGTATGGAATGAAGAAATGGGTCCGAAGAAGAAATGAAAAATGGGAACAGAGAATGTGTGGCATACAAAGTAGGCAACAAGTTATAAGGTTAAAAAAAAAAAAAAAAAAAAACACTAGCACTAGTACAGGCATGCAGCATTATACGTACTGTACATTTCTACCCCCGCACTATCCCCTGCCCCGCTGTTTTCTGTAACCCACTGATCATCCCTCCCCCCTTCTGCCGCCCAATACCCTCGCTTCCTTCCCTACCCTGCAGCGCTGTATAGCCCTTGTGGCTTAGCGCTTCTTTTTGATTATAATAATAATATACTGTACATTGCCCTTAAGTCCAACATCACATTGAACTTGCTGTGGAGAAAAACTCAGCACTTCATCTTATATTTAGGTACCACACTGACTGACTTGTCATCTGCACAACCTAACTTTGGTCATGTAGAATTCTATTTTCTTTTGACTATGAACCATGGCATTTTGTTTAAATGTGCTCATTCGATTTCTCAAGTTCATATCTCTCTTTTATTTAGAAATTATATGAATATCAATATTAACAAGCTCAGGGTAATACTGTATTTAGTTGTGGCAACAAAAATTGAAGTCAAACCAACCATATTACTGTAATTTCATGGCTAAGTGCTCAACCTCTTGGGTCAGAGGAACCACATACAGTGGAACCTTGGTACACAAACAGCTCCCTACTTGAACCAAGCTCAGCACTCGACCAAACAAACACAACCTGCCAGAATTTCGCTGTAAACTATTTTGCGTTTCTTCACATTTTTCGGTGTTTTTTGTATTATTTGTATAAATAGGTCACCATAGGGTCTACAAAAATTAGTGATAACAGCTAACCAAAAAGAAAATTGGCTAGGAAAAATTTGTTCGATACTCAAACGGATCAGCACTCGAACAGTTGAATTAAGTTTGAGTACTGAGGTTCCACTTGACGCTGGTGAGGGGCTCTTGATCTAGGGAATTGGATCTGTGCTCCAGTTCCCTGAATTAAGCCTGAATGCCTTCCATCCCCCCATAGGCGCTGTATAATCCTACGGGTTTAGTGCTTCCCCCTTGATTATAATAATAATAATGAGGTTCCACTGTACTCTGGAAAAATCTTAACCAATTTTCCACACTTCAAAAAAAAATAATTTGAATGCAAACAGGAGCAATTATTAGATGTAAACTCATTTACCTTCATCAAACTCATCACAATTTGTTGAAATAATTGAAACAGAGTACATGTATACTTGTACACGAAAATGGAGGTACTAAGTCTTGTAAAATATAAAAGAAAAATAAATTTTCTAACAATTTGTTTCATTCTGGCAGACCTTTGAAGGCATAACACTGGTCTAGATAGGCAGCTGACAAATGGGTGTGTGTTGTACCTCTGAGTTCTCTGGGTAGTGCAGCTGATTAGACACTTTCTGCACCTGTGAGATCTCAGTGTCAGAGCTCTTAATTTAATAAATCATTATTTTCTTTATTATATTCAGATTCAAGCAAATTTCTTTTCTTAATTGCCTGCAGACACCATACACCTTTTTGTAATTCAGTACACTAAAGGAAGAAAAGCTGAGGAAATGTTTACCCATAAGCAGAGGTACTTGTCAATACAAGTTACACTGAGCCGGTGGCTGGTGCCCATGCATTTCCTATAAATGCCAAGGCATACAGCATTCTATACTGCTGCAAGTGCTGACTACAAACATCAACAAATGTTGCATTCTTTTATATAGAAAAGATGTATAAAAGACTGTTGAGTAGACTTCAGGATGTACATGTTTATAGAGGGGCCACAGATATATCAGATCACTTTCTAGTTGTAGCTACACTGAGAGTAAAAGGTAGATGGGATACAAGGAGAATAGAAGCATCAGGGAAGAGAGAGGTGAAGGTTTATAAACTAAAAGAGGAGGCAGTTAGGGTAAGATATAAACAGCTATTGGAGGATAGATGGGCTAATGAGAGCATAGGCAATGGGGTCGAAGAGGTATGGGGTAGGTTTAAAAATGTAGTGTTAGAGTGTTCAGCAGAAGTTTGTGGTTACAGGAAAGTGGGTGCAGGAGGGAAGAGGAGCGATTGGTGGAATGATGATGTAAAGAGAGTAGTAAGGGAGAAAAAGTTAGCATATGAGAAGTTTTTACAAAGTAGAAGTGATGCAAGGAGGGAAGAGTATATGGAGAAAAAGAGAGAGGTTAAGAGAGTGGTGAAGCAATGTAAAAAGAGAGCAAATGAGAGAGTGGGTGAGATGTTATCAACAAATTTTGTTGAAAATAAGAAAAAGTTTTGGAGTGAGATTAACAAGTTAAGAAAGCCTAGAGAACAAATGGATTTGTCAGTTAAAAATAGGAGAGGAGAGTTATTAAATGGAGAGTTAGAGGTATTGGGAAGATGGAGGGAATATTTTGAGGAATTGTTAAATGTTGATGAAGATAGGGAAGCTGTGATTTCGTGTATAGGGCAAGGAGGAATAACATCTTGTAGGAGTGAGGAAGAGCCAGTTGTGAGTGTGGGGGAAGTTCGTGAGGCAGTAGGTAAAATGAAAGGGGGTAAGGCAGCCGGGATTGATGGGATAAAGATAGAAATGTTAAAAGCAGGTGGGGATATAGTTTTGGAGTGGTTGGTGCAATTATTTAATAAATGTATGGAAGAGGGTAAGGTACCTAGGGATTGGCAGAGAGCATGCATAGTTCCTTTGTATAAAGGCAAAGGGGATAAAAGAGAGTGCAAAAATTATAGGGGGATAAGTCTGTTGAGTGTACCTGGTAAAGTGTATGGTAGAGTTATAATTGAAAGAATTAAGAGTAAGACGGAGAATAGGATAGCAGATGAACAAGGAGGCTTTAGGAAAGGTAGGGGGTGTGTGGACCAGGTGTTTACAGTGAAACATATAAGTGAACAGTATTTAGATAAGGCTAAAGAGGTCTTTGTGGCATTTATGGATTTGGAAAAGGCGTATGACAGGGTGGATAGGGGGGCAATGTGGCAGATGTTGCAAGTGTATGGTGTAGGAGGTAGGTTACTGAAAGCAGTGAAGAGTTTTTACGAGGATAGTGAGGCTCAAGTTAGAGTATGTAGGAAAGAGGGAAATTTTTTCCCAGTAAAAGTAGGCCTTAGACAAGGATGTGTGATGTCACCGTGGTTGTTTAATATATTTATAGATGGGGTTGTAAGAGAAGTAAATGCGAGGGTCTTGGCAAGAGGCGTGGAGTTAAAAGATAAAGAATCACACACAAAGTGGGAGTTGTCACAGCTGCTCTTTGCTGATGACACTGTGCTCTTGGGAGATTCTGAAGAGAAGTTGCAGAGATTGGTGGATGAATTTGGTAGGGTGTGCAAAAGAAGAAAATTAAAGGTGAATACAGGAAAGAGTAAGGTTATGAGGATAACAAAAAGATTAGGTGATGAAAGATTGAATATCAGATTGGAGGGAGAGAGTATGGAGGAGGTGAACGTATTCAGATATTTGGGAGTGGACGTGTCAGCGGATGGGTCTATGAAAGATGAGGTGAATCATAGAATTGATGAGGGAAAAAGAGTGAGTGGTGCACTTAGGAGTCTGTGGAGACAAAGAACTTTGTCCTTGGAGGCAAAGAGGGGAATGTATGAGAGTATAGTTTTACCAACGCTCTTATATGGGTGTGAAGCGTGGGTGATGAATGTTGCAGCGAGGAGAAGGCTGGAGGCAGTGGAGATGTCATGTCTGAGGGCAATGTGTGGTGTGAATATAATGCAGAGAATTCGTAGTTTGGAAGTTAGGAGGAGGTGCGGGATTACCAAAACTTGTCCAGAGGGCTGAGGAAGGGTTGTTGAGGTGGTTCGGACATGTAGAGAGAATGGAGCGAAACAGAATGACTTCAAGAGTGTATCAGTCTGTAGTGGAAGGAAGGCGGGGTAGGGGTCGGCCTAAAAAGGGGTTTGGGAAAGGGGGAGGGGGTAAGGGAGGTTTTGTGGTGCGAGGGGCTTGGACTTCCGCAGGCAGCGTGAGCGTGTTTGATAGGAGTGAATGGAGACAAATGGTTTTTAATACTTGACGTGCTGTTGGAGTGTGAGCAAGGTAACATTTGTGAAGGGATTCAGGGAAACCGGCAGGCCGGACTTGAGTCCTGGAGATGGGAAGTACAGTGCCTGCACTCTGAAGGAGGGGTGTTAATGTTGCAGTTTAAAAACTGTAGTGTAAAGCACCCTTCTGGCAAGACAGTGATGGAGTGAATGATGGTGAAGGTTTTTCTTTTTCGGGCCACCCTGCCTTGGTGGGAATCGGCCAGTGTGATAATAAATAATAAAAAAAAAATAATGTATATAGGAGGGAATTATAATTTCCAGTGGACCCCGCCTTACGATATTAATCTGTTCCTGAGAGCATATCGTAAGCCGAAATTATTGTAAGGCGAATTAATTTTCCCCATAAGAAATAATGGAAATCAAATTAATCCGTGCAAGACACCCCAAAGTATGAAAAAAAAAATTTCACCACATGAAATATTAATTTTAATACACACAAACTGAAGAAGACATGCACAATTACTACTCTACTTAGAACAGAATACATGACACTTACCTTTATTGAAGATCTGGTGATGATTGATGGGATGAGAGGAGGGGAGTGTGTGGAAGTTAGTGTTTAGAAGGAAAATCCCCTTCCATTAGGACTTGAGGCAGCAAGTCCTTTTCTGGGGTTACTTCCCTTCTTCTTTTAATGCCACTAGGACCAGCTTGAGTGTCACTGGCCCTCTGTCGCACAACAAATCTGTCCATAGAGGTCTGTACCTCCCGTTCCTTTAAGATTTGCCTAAAATGGGCCACAACATTGTCATTGTAATAGTCACGAGCACGGCTTGCAATAGCTGTGTTAGGGTGATTTTCATCCATGAAGGTTTGCACTTCAACCCACTTTGCACACATTTCCTTAATCTTTGAAGTAGGCACAATGGATTCCACAACTGGCATAGGCTTCTCAGGGTTAGCCCCAAACCCTTCAAAATCTTTCTTAATTTCCATACTAATTCTCACCCTTTTTACCATAGGGTTGGCACTAGAAGCTTTCTTGGGGCCCATGGTGACTTATTTTGCAGTTACAAGCACAAAAAACACTGGGATAAGGTCAAATGTACTGAATGTATGCGTGGATGCAACCGCACTGGCTGACTTGTAAACACTGGCGCTGAGGCCACACGTGATTTAACGTAACACGATGCATTCATAAGGCGGGGGTCCACTGTATTATAATATATAGGAGGGAAGGTAGCCTCTTAATTTCTTATCAAGCTAAATTAGTGTTGGGACTTCATGGCCACACAGATTTCTTTCCTCATTCCAAAACATGTAACACTGTATTTCACATACAGCAGATGGCTACACTACTGATGTAGTATGTAAATGATACTGACATGTTTTCTTTAACCCTTTCAGGGTCCGTGCCATAGATCTACGGCTTTACATTGAGGGTCCAAACTGTAGATCTATGCCATGAGCTCAGCTTACTCTGATAAGCTGTGAGCAGTAAATTTGGGCCTAGATATGAGAGAATACATCTATATGGTATGTGTGCACCACATAAAACAAATCCTGCAGCACACAGTGCATAATGAGAGGAGAAAAAAAACAGACCGTAATTTTTTATTAAAACAGCAACTTTGCGGTGTTTTTTTTTTTTGTATTTTTTATAGTTGTATTTGCAATTTCTTGGTCTCATTTGATAAAATGGAAGATACATTACAGAAATAGAGATGACTTTGATTAGTTTTAGTACTGAAAATGTCTTGAAACTGAGCTCAAAGTAGCGGAAATGTTAAATTTTTGCTGATGTTCAAGAGTAAACAAATGACCTCACACGTCTAATACAAACCAGCTGGTGGGTCTAATATACATTCACAAATGTGGTGATATTATTTATACAATTATTACAAATTGCATAACAGTAAATCTTCTATTTTTTTGGTTTGAATAAAAATTATGTGAATAAAAAATCAAAATGGAATTCATTTGTAAAGCTTGAAAATGTAACTAATGAACAGGAATGCCTGCATTGTTTATTCTGGACCCTATTTTGAAATTGGAATATTTTGAACTTTGCATTAAATTGACCAAATTACCAATTTCTGATCACTTTATTTTGTAGTTGAAACAGTTGACTTGGCGATTTCTTGTACTCAATTGATAGAACAGAAGTAATGCTAGTGAAATAGCTAAGAATTTGGTTGACTGGAATAATGCAATTGGCCTAAAATGGGAGTCAAAATCAGCAAAATCGCCAAAGTGTAAATATCGCTTACACATCAAAATTCGCGAGAGCACAATTTCGTCAATTTTCCATCAAATTTCGTACTTTTTGTTTTATTACCTTCAGAAAAAGATTCTCTACCATTTCATAAGAAAAAATAAAATTATTTTTTGAAAATTCTTGAACACTGGTGCACAGTTTGAAATTTGGCCTCTGGACCCTGAAAGGGTTAAAGTTATAAATAAAAGTTGATGAAATTAAGACACATGTGCAACATCTGCTACACCTGACGTTACTATATAAGCGCCAGGCTCCTTTCTTCTGCTTCAGAATCTCCACGACTATGGTGCTCTTCGCACCTACTCCTAGGATGAGGGACCGATTACCTCATCTTCTGTACATAGTTCTACTGTCTTCAAGTTATGTCCTAGAATTTGTATTGATAAAGCCACTGGATGGCAAAACGTCTACAATAAAGATACCCAGATGTTGCACATGTGTCTTCATTTCATCTTGTTGGTATTATATACCATTCTTACACATAAATAAAAGTTAAACACCACTACTTACTGATAATCAAATTTCCATCACATTTTCCAAAAAATAAAAATAATAATATAATCAAATTAAGCACTAAACCCAAAAGGGTCATTTCCCAACAAAACCATTACTTTCGGCATGCTTTCCTAATATACAGTATACCACAAGTATTTATGTATGAATAGCTGTTTAGCTGGTGTTAAATATCTTTTGTACTACAGTATATTTAAACAAGGGTTACAAATCATCTATCTAGAAAATTTGGCTTCACAGCCCTGTTAGAAGCTGCTTCCTTATCATCTTGAAATCTCTGATTATTATTATTATTATTATTATCAAAAAGTGCTAAACCTACTAGGGTCTTGAAATCTCTGAGCATCTATTATTATTACATTTGTAGGGGAGCACTAAACTATTAGGCAGTCATACAGCATTTGTAGTAATTGGAGGCAATTAGGATTAAACCAAGGGAGGATAGTTGCAACTCCTTGGATCAAGAGCCCCTCACTAGCATCAAGAGACTTTCCTATAATGTAGTATGCCTGTAATGAATAGAAAAAATAAAACGATGCACTAATCAAGTCAAAATATGCTGTAATTTCCTCTTAATTCAGTTCTTTGTGTATTTTATTTTCCTTGTGCCTACTTTATAACCTGATGGTCATTTTGCCATAACTGTCAGTTTATACAATTTCAAATTACTATTGCATTAAAAGTAAGTGCTGAACCAAGGCAGTCAATACAGCTCTTAAGATTTTAAAGAAAATAAAACTATGCATTTACTTGACAAAAGGATTAAAATCCCACTGTTGAAAGACATTTAAAAGGTGCAAGGATGATTTCAGTGCTTTTTATGAATACAGTATAATAATAATATGGGGGACAAGTGAAATTTTTTTTTTAAATATTCTGTACAGGACAACTCATTAATCAGCACAGGAAAACAAAAATGCATTCATTTACGAAGTTCAGTACTACTGTAACATGATTCTGATATTTTAATAACAATCTGTACAATGGTTGCACTGAAACAGATTTCTAAGAATTCTGCTAATGTCTAGAATTCTCATACACAGGAGATTGAGGGAATTCATTAACTACACATAACAAACCATCGTACTGAAATTTGAACAAGAGAAGTTCAGAACCTAACCAAACGTTAAGCAAATCAATTGTTACAATTGAGAAGCTTGTGCATCAGACTTCCACTCACTTGAAAAAAGAATCAGGTTTCAAACTATGTAATAAAAAAATGGGCTAAGCAATCTAGAAAAGCTACTGGATACAATTAAACATGTGTACAATCATATTGGTAACAGGTATGACTAAATTCAAAATATGGAGATCTGTGTTAACTATAAATTTTTCTTTTAGGAAACCATATTATACTACAAATACACACACACACACACAAAAAAAGAAGTGTTGATAAAACTGAACATTAACATTATAATTACAGTACATACAAAATATCTCGAGTAAATCCAAGAGATATCTTACCTTAAGCACAATATAAACGGAATGTTTTGTTGCAAGAAAGGTAGCCTCTCATACTTGTCATGTCCGTATCACTAAACAGGAGCAATCATCCCTATATAATAAATACGACACAGCGCCATTTAATGTCATGAATAGCACCTTGTATAACACAATTAACAAAGGCATGAAAATATAAATTTTCATAAAGGTAGTAACATTGGAAACTAAGGTTATAATGATCATTATATTACAGAAAATATAAACGAATTGCACCTCTTCCAGGATTTAAATACTTGCACCATCAGTTCTCACAGCACACATATAGCAACCAGTCGATCACAATCACAAACTACAGTATAATATTACACCATAGACAATAGGGTAATTCACCTATTAATAGATACTGTAAAGTGATTCCTTTGAAGTCTCCTAGCTAATTATTACAGGAAAATATTAATTATGGTAAAAATAAATTATCTGGCAACATTTGCTAACACGAATAAATAAATAATCGTATTTGCCTTAACTTTATCTGGCTCAAACTTTTTTCTTACTTGATAAATAGAATTTTATAACTAATGTATAGTGATTTGTGCTACTAGTACATATTTCCACAGTACCCAATCACTTAAGTCTTAAGACTTAAGCCTTAGGTTCATGTAAACAAAGATTCCATTTTATAATTTGCCTTGTTTCCTAATCTGACATTATCTCTGACAATTTTAATCATAGGACACACCCATTTCAGTGATTACATTCATCCTTTCACCTATATCCTTTCCTTTACTCAATTCAACATATATTCAATCATTCTATTTGCTAAAATTTCTGCCAATGCTATTGTAATAAACACATCTAACCACTGAAACAGCTACCTTCTCCTTCTCTGTATTATAACTAATCTCAGCAAACATCTGTATTTAAAAAATAGTAATATAATTATGACTATACAATAATGAATGATCTAGTGTATAGAAAAATAAAACAACCTTTCATAATCCTATATGCATTCCCTATCAGACAAATTATTAAATACTGTGAGGTGTCAGCATTGTGTTGGCAAGCAAGTTCAAGAATTACTTCTGTCTCTTTATAAATGATTTGAACAAAACACAAACTTAACATCAACAGTTTACCAATGATTAAATTTCAGCATAAATACTGTATTATAAACTTCTAAACAAACAATACCATACACATTTGAGATCCACATTCAAAGTTCTAGCACCTATGAATATTTTTAGGGCTAGATGTATAACGCCACCACATATTAAAACTGCCTTTTAGCTACAATATAAATATTATTAAAGGAATCACTCCTAATATTATCCATTACAAGCAATGTCTCTGAATACTTCCACGAGGACTACAGCTGAAAAAAATATACCGCACTGTGGTAGAACGACAACCTAATTTAAGCATCCCGTCTCAAGCAATGTTCTGACTGCGAAGAAGACCTTCAATCTCAGAATCAGGCACCTTGTGCACTGTCAGCAAGTGCACCTTCATGTGATAGTGACGGGACAGCACTTTTTTGCACACAGGACACTTGGTTCGTAACTGATGCACCTGCAAGAGATTAGTCATATAAATCTTCACATCAGTGATTAGTCTACTTACACTACCTTATAGATGCATAAAAATATATTTTTTTTTTTTCCAAAAGATAACACATTCGCCATCCTTCACTCTTGATGCCTTATCAGAAGTCCAAATATCACAGCCACACCAAGCAAACAAGGTAGACACATTCTCTCTTGATTTGAGAAAAAAAAATTATACTTCTTGTGATGGAAGTACAGTAATATTTGTGGTGTTCCATAACAAATAAATGAAATTTTATATGGATTTAGGGGAAATTAGCACAGAAAAATAAGCAAAGACATTGTTTACAATATGGCAGAAAATACACATTTAAGAAGTGTCTTCACATCAAACAACAGAGAAAATGAGTGGAATCATGGACAGAATTTCAAGATTGGAACAAAACCAGGTAAGGCAAGCAGGGCTCAGATAAACTGATTAAGGTAAGTTTGAAGAACGATATAGAAGTTCTCAACTCATGAAGAAAACATTACAAGTTATCTGATATTACAGAGGAAAGAGTGGAATAGGACAAGTAACTGTAAAAGAATACAGTTGATATAGGGTAATTAAAGGACTTGGAGAAGTAAAAACAAAAATATAATAAAGTCATGTAGGAATAATAAAACAAAGACAAAATTATGGTAGATGAACAAGTACAGCAAGCACATATCACAGAAAAAGTCAGCAAAAGTTTCCAGAAGGAAATAAAAGGACTACAGGAGTATAAAGCTTCAACAGAAAATAGATGTAAATGACCAGAAAAACAGCAGGTTTTATCTTCTTTCAACAAACCAGCCATATCCCACTGAAGCAGGTTTTATAACCTAAGGAATTTACAGCTCAGTTAACATTAATATAAACATAAATAAGTAGACAACAAATAATTCTAGGCTATTAAGGAAACTGTACACAGATAAAAAGACTATTTTTCTTGTGATGAAAAGGAAACCAAATCAGACAGAGGAAAAATGTCAGAAGTGAGATAAAGTGCTCTGCCATCTCACTAATCTGATACTCCTTTCTCTTTCCGATCTTAGTTTCAGAAAAGATATTTCCATCATTGCCTTCAACCTCCTCACAGCAAGAGTTAAAAGCAATGCTTCACACCCACAGACAAGCACTGGCACCATTAAACTCTCAATTGCACCCACTGCCAAACTTTCTACAGATTTTTTAGTAATCCTGCAAATATTTTTCCTTCACATATTCTGCAATTTATATCTTTGTTCATAGAAATATCTGCATATATATCAATTTCCAAATACTTGTACATATTAAATTACATTCTGATAGCAAAACATTACTTGGAAAGGTGATGGAACGAGATACCAACACAGTAGCGTTTCACCTACAGTGGGCTTTATCAAGTCACAAACATTTCAAACAGCTGCATGTAATCCGATACATCCCATTTAACTGCATTTGCATCTCTTTACTATGTCATAACCTAGATCACTGCCACCACTGCCCAACCAGATTATTAAACCTTCTATGTCCATATTACCCATATCTCAATATGAAAACCCAAAAAATCAGTTTCTTATATTATCATAGCAATTTTCTTTTCACATCTGAGGTTATACCTCAATAGCCATTTCTCATTCCTACTTTAATTGAAGAGATGCAAGGTTCTTTGCACCAAAAGAGAGACAAATCTTATAAAAATATAAATTATAAAAGATACGGATAGAAATGGTAACACATGCCTGGTAGTGTGCAACGAGAGATCCCTGGTGCTTGAAGACTTTACCACATACTTTGCATACTGGATAGCCACCTTCATTGAAGTTTATAGCTACTGGTGACTGAGTTTCCCCTGGAGACCATTCAACTGTAATAAGAAAAAGTATACCAGCAAATTAAAAAATAGCAGTATGGTAGTTGTTCTACAGGTCGGCCATTACTAATCCAGCATCATTGGGACCTGCAGTGTGCTGGATTAGTGAGTTTGCCAGATTACAGATTGGTTAGGTTAGAATACACTTAATTAACCTATCAATTTATTTTATTTATTTATTTATTTATAATTTGAGCACACTTACAGAGGTACAAAAAAAAATACAGATAAGAGCAGCATGCCAAAGCCACTTATACTATGCATAGCATTACGGGCTGGCTTAAAATTAACTTAAGATTAACTAAGCAATGATGAAATCAGTGAAAAACATTAATGTAAACTGATTACTATAAAGCACAAGTGAGTATTACAAAGACAGGTCATATGGTTGCATGCATTGTTGTAAATTCAGTAGAATGGAGTATTCTGTTAGGTAGTGAATTTAAAAAATAATAAAGTTAGATTGGGTTTTAGGTTTAACATTTATGTGATATAATTGTGAGAAACATTTAAGATATACAATTTATAAGGTTCAGTTATTCAGTATTTATTTGGTTTTGGGTGAGTAAGTGATCTTTGAGAAGAGACTTGAATTTATAAACAGGTAGTGTTTCTTTTATATTAACAGGTAATGAAGATAGAGACTCTTTCTATTATATCTTCCTCCTTTTCATCACTGCTTCTCCTCCACTGGCTTTCCACTGTGGATTTACAACCATTGCACAATTTCTGAGTCAGTATAATGATGAAATTTTAAATTATGCTAGCCGAAATTAGTGCTGGATTACTGATGGAACCAGATAACTAATTGCCAGATTAGTGATGGCCGGCCTGTATTATCAGATCCTCCCTCAAGGGACATTCCTTGACACTGGTGAGGGACTCTTGATCTAGGGAATTGAATCTGTCCTCCAGTTCCCTGAATTAAGCCTGAATGCCTTCCATCCCCTTCCCGACCCCCCCGGCACTGTATAATCCCTATGGGTTTAGTACTCCCCTATGATGATAATCAATTATTAAACCAGTTAAGAGCAAGAAGAAATTCAAAGGCCCACTTTTATAAGCTACTATAATTGCTTATTTTAACTTATGAGTAACCATTTATACAAAGCATACTGAGGTGTTACAGAAAATATTTGTTTTCCCTATCATATTCCAATATATTTCTGTCTTTGTGTTCTCGAGAGACACTAGGAATGCAACCCACCCTTAGCCCTACACTTACCTCCTAACAGTAAAGACTTTGTCATTTTTTTTTCATTCAGTATGCCTCCTTATACTCAGTTCTCACTCAGATTCCTGCTTTCTACATCTGGTCCCAGCCAGACATTCCGTGTCACTGGGACAGATGACAAACAACATCTCCACCCATTTATTCATCAATTAGGATTTAAACCAGGCAAGGATTCAACAATACTTGAGCCCATAAGTACCAAAATGTACCATATTCACAGAGGAGTCACAGGGCAGCCTTTCTCCTCACATACTCCTCATTTTCTCCTACAGTTCTCTAAAAGCACCCCAATTTTATATATGTAAAGCACATGCCATATGTAGGCAATATATCTAGATACTTACAGCAAAATATAATGCTGCATGTGATTGCTTTGTTGATATCTGGGGATCAATTGTTCAATGAAGCCCCCAAGACCATACAATTTCAGATTTTTGTTTTTTAACACACTGGCTGTTTCCCACCAAGGATGGGTGACCCAAGAAAGAAGAAAAACTTTTATCATCTCTCACTCCATCACTGTCTTGCCAGAGGCAAGATAAGATGTCTAGGAGTATTGACTTGTTTGACAGTGTGAGCAAGTCACCCACTGCCAACAGCAATATGCTGCTGACTACAGCATCTCCCACATGGGTATGTACACACCAGTAAACACTTACGAATTTCTCCATCTTACATCAAATATGGGACTTCATATTTTTAAATATTATGTAAATCTTGTTAATATTGCATTAACATGCATAAGTTCTCAAGAAGAAGATAAAGAGGAAGGAGGAGAATGAATGAATAAATGAATGAATGAAAAAAAAAAATAATCTGAGAATGGGAAATCCAGCCAGTATTTTTTGACAGACAGTCCATGGTCAGTTTTCAATTTATGGGTCATGTGCCCAGCTAAAGGAAAATGGGCAGTGATAACAGTTATGATCATGCACACTGCAAAAAGATGAATGTTTTCCAGGTGCCCCTTCCACAAAAGTAATCAGTTAATAAAGATGTAACAAATAAGGAGGCTTCACTGCATAGTATATACATTTGTATAGTATTCAGAGAACATGTTACAGAGAATAACCCAGTCTTTTATCATTACCATCAATGTTACTATGTTATTATTGCTATTATTATTATTATCATCATCATTATCATCATCAAAGAGGAAATGCTTAACCCCTAGGGATCATACAGTGACTGACTGACTCATGAAATCGTAATGACACGATTGCAAACAAACCATACCACGGGTGGGATTAGAACCTGCAATCAGAGTCTCAAGACTTCAGACCGTCACGTTAGCCACTGGGCCAGCTAGCTTCAATAAGATTCATCCAACTAGGTATATTTCTACACCATAGGAAAATTAGCATAGGCACCACTGTGACCACAAGTGCAAGTTTTTACAGACGAATCTCCTGCCAGCATGGCCATGACGAACCCTAGCTCAAGTCCCTTCAAAGTTGTCAACATGACTCTCAAAATCATAATGACACGACTGAAAATAAACCATACCACGGGTGGAATTAGAATCCGCGGGAGATTCGTCTGTAAAAACTTGCATTTGTAGTCATCGTGGTGCCTATGCTAACTTTCCTATGGTGTAGAAATATACCTAGTTGGATGAATCTTATTGAAGCTAGCTGGCCCAGTGGCTAACACGATGGTCTGGAGTTTTCAGATTCTCTGATCGCGGGTTCTAATCCCACCCGTGGTATGTTTTTTTTTTTCAGTGACTGAGAAATGGTAAGTGCAGAAATCAGGCTTGATCTAATGAAGGAAAGGAAAGCTTCAATTCCTTGGAGTGAGAGCCCTCTTGAAGAAATAACAGTCTAAATTCAGATAAAATCTTCATACTGAGATACAGAGGCAGTGGCATAGAAAAGAAAAAAATTATAGTATCTTCAGTATCCTACATTTATTGAACAATGGTGCATAATAATTCTTTCAACACACCAGCCGTATCCCACCGAGGCGGGGTGGCTCAAAAGGAAAAACGAAAGTTTCTCCTTTTACATTTAGTAATATATACAGGAGAAGGGGTTACTAGCCCCTTGCTCCCGGCATTTTAGTCGCCTCTTACAACACGCATGGCTTACGGAGGAAGAATTCTGTTCCATTTTCCCATGGAGGTAAGAGGAAATAAACAAGAACAAGAACTAGAAAGAAAATAGAAGAAAACCCAGAGGAGTGTGTATATATATATGTTTGTACATGTATGTGTAGTGTGGCCTAAGTGTAAGTAGAAGTAGCAAGATGTAACTGAAATCTTGCATGTGAATGAGACAGAAAAAAAAGACACCAGCAATCCTACCATCATGTAAAACAATTACAAGCTTCCGTTTTACACTCACTTGGCAGGATGGTAGTAACTCCCTGGGCGGTCGCTGTCTACCAACCTACTACCTAGGTGCATAATAATTATAACAAAAAAAAAAAAAAAAAGTAAGTTAGAACTGCTTACCATATTTTGGGTTTTCTATCATACTGAGTGATGAACCATCATTACTGCCATATTCTGTGTCTGATTCAGCATCTGGTGTGGAGGTTCGCTCGTCTTCACTCTTCGCAGCAGAGGAAATTTTTTCTACTGCAGTACCTGCTGAAGATAAATTTACTTCTTAACAAAATCGATGTTCACACACCTTGCCCTCCTACCTTCAAGTATTTCTTCCCTGTCCTCTTTCATGATATTGGATGCTTTCCATTATAGTAGCACCTTCCAACTTGCTTCTGTATACCTATGAAAGATTTTACACTACTAAAGAATAAAAAGGCACAATATTGTGACTGGACCAATACACAAATAACCCACACATAGGAGAATAAAACTTATGATTACGTTTTGGTCCAACCTGGATCATTACTGGTCTAAGTCTGACCAAAATGTCTTCATAAATTTCATTTTCCTATGTGTAGGTTATATGTGTATTTTACATTATTGTGAATATACCAAGTAGTAAAGACAAGGAGTTACATGGGGACCATTTTTTTACTTGAATATTCTCAGGCAAGTATATTAACCCTGCACCAGCAAGGGTACAACATAAGTTATACATACAGTGCTTCCACCGAAGACTAGTCTTCAATGTCAGCAAATTTTAAAAAAATCCACAGTTTTCCCCATGAAAAGTATAATTAAACAAACAAGAGCAGGGAATGTGGAAAGCTAATGTGGCTTAAAAGTGAAAGATGGTCAACCAAATAATCCAGAATAATGATATAACAAATTGTGTGCCATCTTCACAAGTGCTATCATGACACTGCTAGAGACAAATGATAACTTTTTCTCCAATTTCAGCTTTCAACTTCATAAACTAGAATCTATAATGTTCAGTAACATGGTGAGAGGTAAAGGCAAGGCAGTAGTGCAGGTCTCCCTTGCTTTATGAGCATTTACTATTATGTGATGCCCAATTTCTATTGGTAATACCACGTATGTGATTTATGGTCGGTGTGCACAATCAGCATGATTCACAAAGCACATCAATATTCATATTATGCATAATTGTTAATGGCTTAAATGAACAGATGCCAAGGGTTGGGAATACATCTACAGCAATAAATGAGGGACACCTGTATCAGAAAACAACCAAAGAATGCATGGGAATTGTACAACCCTCCCTCCCCCCTCCCACAATACTCTCACCTCCTCCAACCATCCCCCTCCCTCCCACTCCAACCATCCCCTCTCTCCCACTCCAACCCCCCCCCCCACCTGGAACTTGCTCCATTCTCTTCTCAAGTCAAAAATAACAATAATGAAAACTGGATGAATTCAAACACTTTCTAGCTTGTCTCATTAGATTTCTCAAAGGCAAGTGATTTAATGAAGAGCAGCATGCCACTCTCAAAAATCAAGACCAGGAACTACAAGCTACAATATGACTATAGCAACCTGTCCAAAATCATTAAGAGCATCTGCAAAAATACAGGGAATAGATGCTAATAAGGAAAACTGCTGAATATTACAAGAAACTTAAATCAACACGATGAAGACATTAAGACCACATAGTGCAATTTGCCAACTTATAATTCACCCATGTCTTGGATAAACAACTCAGTAATTATGTTATATTGAACATCAGTCACTTCCCACATGATGGAACAGCTGTAAATTGTGCCAGTATGGTGCCAGTATTATCAGATGCTGGCAAGCCAGGAATTAGACAATCAGACTTGCTTTTATTTAAAAAAAAATGACATGATCAAAACAACCAAAAGATACAGAACAAACATGTCTGTAAATAAATGAATTAAAAAAGAAAGGCAGGAATTCTAAAAGCGACTGAGACAACCCACTAGCAAAATACTGAGAAAATCACCAATTGTTAGGTTTAAGATAAAAGAATTAAAAACACACACAATGAAAAAGGTATACAATGAAAGAGGTATACATAAACGAGTGTCTTACCAAAAAACGTCAGAACCTCCTGTATAAAGTCAGAAAACTTAAGCGGGAGAATAATGACAATACACCAATGCTTCACACGAGATGGGAAAATTCTTGTTAGGAAAACAAATGTAGGTCAACTGTACACAATAACGAACGAGAATGATCTATCACGATTTCTCAGGGATACTAATCTTACAGAGAATAACTAAACAATGTCCAACCTAAAAGCCTACGTAGTGTAGTGTATGTTTTGCTCCATTATTATTCAAATTTCATTTTACAATCTCTTAGTAATTAAATAATCAACTACCTCATTTTGTGATTTTACTAGTAAGCATAAGTCACCTTATGTAATTTTCTTATTTACTATTGTTTGCTTAAACATTAGCTGAATTGATACTTTCTCTGTCCATATTACTACCTCATATTTTTTTAAATACTATCAATTGATATTACTTACTAAAATTAATAATTATCATTTTTACTATAATTTCAATTTACTCCTAACATTTTTGACATTTAATAACCATTACTTGTCTAATTACCTTTACCTGTTTTAATATCACATTTACTATCTTAGAGTACTCTTAATTACCTTGTACTGCCATATAACCTCTAGTATAACTACCAGTGCAATATTGAACGAAATAAACATTACTTTTTCACTTTTTTGTAATCATTATTACTTACTAAAATTTTATTAAACACCATATTTACTACCAGTCAATTTTACTTTTGTACATTAAACATTATTTTATACTTCCCATAACATTTTGTTGCCAAATTTTCAAGTTTGTTATTCAACTCCAACCTTTATATTATCCTTTGTACCTGTGTACCTGTCCACCATCTTACTATCATATTATAACCAAGACATTACCCTGGTTATTTTTTACTATTATTCTTTTGGTACTTTAATTGTGAATTATATTTTGTCAATTTAAATCTAGTTATACTCCTGATCTTGTCAACAACCTATACCAGACTCTAGTGCAATTGCAAGTACCATTTCAATTTGTATTTTTATATTACAAGTTTATATTATAATTCCTACTCTAAGATTGTTTTCATATCTTAGTGACTATATTGTGTGTGCAATTAGTGTATATTTCAATTATATTATTCTTCAAGGCCCTTAACTATCTTTTGCTAACTAGTACCAACTACCTCATATATTTTTTTTTCTATTTTTTTTTATTCTTTTGCTACCTTAACTTGTATATTTTATCTTGTCAATTTAAATCTAGTTATACTCTAATTCTTGTAAACAACTTATATAACACCTTAGTGCAATTACAATTGAGAGTCTTGTGCCTTTTTTATATTATTAGATTAAACTCAGTTGTACTGTAGTCAATACCAAATTCATTATATTAGACCATACTGCAATTACTAGTGAGAGACTGGTGCTATTTTTAATTTGTATTGTTGTATTATTAGATTAAATCTAGTTGTACTATAGCTCATTCTAGCTCAAAACATAGACTCCACACAAGTCATTATATTAGACCTTAGTGCAATTATTTGATTACCACTTTATTGTTCACCACAACTTATATTAGTATCTTTTATATTATAATTTTATATTATAATTCTAACTTTAAAGAATTACCTTTAAAGTACTACCTACTATCATATTCCCAAGCTCCATTATTTGATCATCACTTTATTTGTTCACCACAAATTATTTTAGTCCCTTTTATATTGTCTCCTTTATTTTAGCTTTAAAAAACTACCTTAGCTCATTATTTTTACATTTGTCAAATAATTCAGGTGCTATTTTTTTAGCTTTAGAATATTTACTTTGTTTTATACTTAATTCTAACTATAGATTCACTACAAATCTTATGATTACAAGCATTGATCCTGATACCAACCTCTTATTTAATGACTTAAATGATTCAAACAGTTACTGTAATTACTACACAGCAGAACAATCAAAGGCATTTCTCAGAGCCAACAACAACATAACTATCTTTAACTACAATATCAGATCTTTAAGCAAGCATTACGATGACCTCCTAGCACTACCAAATTCCTTGCATGCCAATATGTCCATCATTACACTAACTGAAACCTGGCTAAAGCCTGATACTACAGATGTCTATGCCATTCCTGGTTACACAGCCATACACAACTGTAGGCCAGACCAACAAGGGGGTGGCACAGCTATATACTACTCAGACCAACTAGAATGTATCACTAATACTTGCACAAGGGATGAACATGAGGAATGTATAATAGCTAAATTCAAATCCAAATACCTACAAAAACCTCTCACAGTGATAAACATCTACAGAGTTCCACAATCAAACATTAGCCAATTTAGTCAAAACCTAGGAAGTATGATAACTGATGCACGCATGAACAAAGATCACTTACTACTCTCAGGTGACTTCAATATAAATCTCCTGCAAGACCAAGGGCCCACACGTTACTGAATTCACAAACACAATGAGTAACTGCATGTTGCTACCAACAGTAACAAAACTTACAAGAGTTACGGAGACTAGTGTTTCCCTACTTGACCACATCTGGACCAACACCATATCCCCTTTAAAATCAGGCATAATTACAGATAATACCACAGACCACTACCCTACTTTCCTCATAACAACTCTTGGTAAAATACCCCAAGACACTACTAAAGTCACCTTCAGACTTCACAATGAGGCAGCCATTAATAACTTCACAACAGCAGTAACAAACATTGACTGGCACACTGAGCTAGAAATCTATACAGATATTGACGAATGTTTTAATAATTTTCTAAAAAAGACCCAATACCTCTATAACAAGCACTGCCCTAAAAAAACTAAACAGATGACAGCTAAGAGACTGAACAGTCCCTGGCTAACACCCAAATCCATAAATACAAAACACCGATATGAAAAACAGTACAGAATGGGTCACATAACCAGAGACCAAACAAAACGTTATTCGTCAATCCTAACCAGCCTGATAAGAAGGGCAAAAAAACTGTATTATGAGAACAGATTATCCAACTTACGAGGTGATATAAAAAAGACCTGGAAGACCCTATCAGAAATTCTGGGAACAAAAAAGATATCACGAAATAGCGAAATAAAATTAGCAAAATCAGATGAACCCCAACTCCCACCAACAGAAACAGCAAACAGACTCAATGATTTCTTCTCCACTATAGGACAAAACCTTGCCAATAAAATCCCAAGCTCAGAAACCCC